AAGCTACTTGAAATTTTTCATTTCTAAGTAAACAACAGTATTTCAAAAGTAAGCACATCCCCAGTTGTTCAAAAATTGTAGAGACCTAGAAAAAAGTAATCGGAGTAACCTGAATAAAGACAGTTTGCCAAACCACTACCATAAAGGACTAACACCACTATCCAGAAAAACCAGCTTCAGATTAGAAGACTGGAAGCAAAAGATTCCCAATATCTCTGAACAAGAGCCTTGTGCCTTGAAGATCTAGTTATGTAAAATGATAGAATCATATATTCTCCTGCTTTGAGGGTTCTGAAAGGTATTTCAGAACTCTTTATTTATTTAAACTATTATAACACCAAAGGAAAAATCTACTGTTTTTATTGCTGCTCTGTTAGATGTGTTTGTGTTGATAATAGAAACACCCGTTTTATAAAGTTTGTTGTTAATCACTGATTCAAGCTCTTGGTTCATTTCAGTACATAAACTCAAGACCAATGAAAAATCATTTTAATTTCTCCTTTTATAACTTTCTAAAATTTTAGGAATTTATTGCTGTTAGATATACTAATACATTGTGATGGTTTTATGACAGCTTTTCCCATAATCCTTAATTACAGTAAGGTAGGTGAAGAACAATAGGGGCCTGATGTAGATTTGAAATACAGATCCACAAAACTGCCCCATTAAAAAAAAATGCCAACCTACTTTGGAATATAAGACATAAAGTCCATAATATCAAAGGATGCATCCTAGTTTTTAAATTTAATCATAATTAAAATCAATTTTAAAACTTGCCTTTACCCATTTTAATATGATGCAAAATTTTATGCTTTAAATTATTCACATGTTCATAGTCCATTCCTATTGAATATCCACTAAGTGCTTGGGGGTTAAGAAATAGCCAAAAATAACTTTTGACCTCAAAGAAGACTCTAGAAAAGAATAGAGATACAAAGAAGCAGCATCATGCTAACATAGTGAATCCTGGTAGCAGAGGTGAAACAGAAGGGTATCTGGAGGTGAAGGAGGAGGATGTGTGGGAACCTCTCCCACAGAGATGAGAGGAGCCTAGGGCAAGAACAAGTGTGTTTTGTGCATGTGCATTTGAAGGGTCATTGTCCCACAGTTTATTAGAGACTATGTGCCTTGTCATAGTTGGAATGTGTCTAATGTGAACTTGGGAAATAATACAGGATTTGAAGTAAAGGTAGGAAGAGGAAGAATTATCTGTATTCATGTATAAATTTGATAGGAGCAATTATTACACCTAGTTGTCAAGTTTAAGTGGATTTTCACATTACTTTTAATTCCATGTGTGGTCTGTAAGAGATTTTGAATAGTAATAGTTATTTTGGACAACTAATATGATACTAAGATCATCTCTTTAATTTTTAAATTTTCCTCACATCAATGTTTATGACAGCATGATTATAATCTATTGTATTATGATCAACTTGTTCTCTTGGTTTTAGAGTTCTGCTGCATAATTGGCAGTAGAAGAATAGTTACAAACAGATACATGTGCTATTTGGCTTCTTACAGATGTACATTTTTAGACTTCATTTAAAAAAACAATCACATAAAGTAAATTAATTTGCAAAATTTCTTAAAGTACTATATATTTTCTCCTAATTTTCAGATTGTGTTTTTAATCATTTTTCATCACAAATGGCACACCAAGAAGTTCCAAATATAAATTCATTTTACAACAATAATGACATTTTCCAACTGTCTCATAAATTTGCAACATTTGGTAAAAGGGAGACTCGTAAAGCAAAATGTGTCACCAGTGCTAAAGAAAATGGGCTTGTGGTAATTAGAGTGTCATCTTCAAAGACAAAACTAATGCTTGAAATTCAACAGCATGATTGTGAAGAGTCATTGTGTGCTCACAGAGCGCCCACCTCTGTGCTGAGGGGTCCAAGTTCATAGCTTCATTAGTTCTAACCTTAGGACCTGAAGATGCTAGTTGTTCCCCTTTCATAGAGGGAAGGAATGAGTATTTGAAAAGCCTGAGTAATTTGGTTATGGTCCAATAGTGAGTGAGTAGAGACACTGGGATTCAAAGCAGGTCCTCTGTGGTACAGGTATAGGTGTAGGTACTATGGTGAACCCCACTTTACAGACAGGGAGAAGTGAGGCTTCCAGAGGTCTGAATCTTTTTGCTGTGCTCCACTAAGAAGTGGAGAATCTGGTCTTCAAAGGCAGGCTCTTCAGATCCGGAGTCTGTGTCACTCACCTGTTGGTGTTTATGCTGTTTGACAAATTTAAATTGTAAGCATGTTGTTGACATTTCCTTTTGTTCGGCAAAATGCAGGAAGTAATACATCCAGGTATTAATTGGATAGAAGGAGGACAGGTGTTAAGGACAGGACTAGAGCCAGAAATTGGTAGCAAAGATAATTGTAATTTCTTCCATTTTATTATTTTTAAGTCACCACAGCAAAGCAAGAGTGTTTCAGGAGAATGCAATTCACTCTTCATCCATTTCGCAGGAACAACAGTTGCCTTAGTTCCCAAAGTCAGAAAGTCAGCTATGTCAGCAAGAGTCCCCAAACTAATCTGCTAAGTGGCCCAGATGAAATTTGTATGTCTTATTCTCTGTTTCTATCTTTACTGATACCCTCTCTTTATGCCCTAATTATTACTATTGTTATTATCATCATCATTCATCATGTTGTATTATACAAACTACCATGTTAAAGTCTGGCCAAAAACAAACATTGTCTATGCAGAAAGTACTGTAGCAAGCAATCAATTCTTAAAATGTGATAGAAACTCAAAGCTCAGAGGACAAACTGGAATCTTTAAAAATACTTTGGCATTCTACAAATAAAATTTCAAAAATTAAACAGAAGTATTAATCACTGATTTTTCTTTATTGTGAGAATTAGGGTTTACAATAATATATGATATTCCAGGGAATATCTAAAGTTAGTGAATTTGGAATGTTTATCAATTTACATTGTGAGTTTTGTTAGTGTGTATTGATTGTGTACTCCAGACCTTTCACTTTCATGTGTATAGAAAAGACAAGATGAGGAATCAGAAACTTCTCATTTGTTAAAAAAAAAAA